AAAAAATTAAAATAAAATATCATTGTGAATTTTTTATTAGTTGGTAGTAGAAAGAATTTTATTAAAAGTATTTCCCATATATATGTGGGAGTGTTTGTATGTGTTTGTTTTAGAAAAAAACATTGAGCTTTCTGCCATTTATTTCAGTTGAGTTGTTAGTTAATTTTCTTTAAGTATTTTGATTTGTATGAATCAGCTTTTGAGCTATCATTTATTCATTATTATATGAAGAAAATTACATATCCAAATCACTTTTATTATATTTTAGTCTGTATGTATATTTCTCAAGAATGGTCATAATGCAAATATATATGTACATTTTGTTAATTTCAAAATTTTTACGTGTTATTGTTAGCATAACAGGGAATAATAATTACATGTATAAGCACAAACCCTCTTAATGTGTAAATTAGTTTATTGCATTCTATACATAGAAGTGAATAGATTTAATTAACCGGGAGAAGACATAACTGATTTATATGCCATGTATCAATTATTTAAATTAATCGCTTAAAATTGTTTAACTTATAATAAAATTCTAGCCTAATAAAATAATTAATTATGAAACGAATGCATTTTAGCCACGTGTTGTTATAAATTATATCTGTTGTTGAGACCTGGATCCCACGTTATAAGGTCAATCGGTCCATTATAAAAAGATTAGAAATAAACAAATGCATATAATCTTGTAAAGAAATGATATAATTTTATAAAGAATGATGTAATATGTCATTTGATACATCGCAATACTTATCCTTTATATATTAATTTAGAACATGCTGAGTCTAAGTGACATTAATTCAGAACGAGTCTAAGTGGCAGGCTCGCATACTTCGTATCATATTTGACAAGATTACATGCTTCCTTATTAGGATTGAGTAGATTTTAATTTACTTCTAATCCAAAAATAATTAAGTTCGAATTATCCATAAATACGTTGATTATTTATGATCACGTTACATATAAATTATAATATAATATCGAGAAGTACTGCTTGGAGAACCTCAATATCTACGGGCTTACTCGCTAGATGACAATTGGCACATACAATACGCCTAGTCGCTTATTTTAAAAGTTAATAACTTTTGTTTTTTTAATCAGCTTTATATATAATATATCAAATTAATCATATTTTGATGAGATTCGATTTAACATCCATATTGTATGTATAAAAAATAAATTATATATCTTCATAACAATAATAAAATTATTTTCTAATCTATCATTATATTAAAAGAATAACCTTTTTATGATTTCCCGCCAAAATCATTATTTTCCCTCCAAAATCATTAAATACCCGCCAAAATCATTATTTTTCCTCTAAAATCATTAAATACCCGCTAAAATCATTATTTTCCCTCTAAAATCGTTAATACCCGCTAAAATCATTATTTTTCCTCTAAAATCATTAAATAAATAGTGATATAGTGTTAACAAAAAAAAATGGCGACTGGTTTTTGTGATGTTTTTCTTCTTCCTGTTAGGTTAACAAATGGTTTTTGTGATGGTTCCCTTTTCCTATTTTTTAGGTTAACAAAATAATAGATATTGTGTTGATTTGTTTCCCTTTTCATTTAAACTTTTTAGGCAGAAATTTCGAAACATTATATTTGATTTGATGTGTATATATTTATTTTTTATTTCCTTTTTTTTGACCGAAGGTATTTATTAAATTAGCCTTATAATATTTTAGTTACTTTAAACAAATTATTTAGACATTTGTTTTTTACATATTCGTCTATATATACACATATACATAATTGATGTTAAATTTAATTATTTGTAGACATGCTTTTTTTGCGAAATAGTCTAGAAATTTTGTTTACATAATGTTAAATTCAAATGTTTTTAGATATGTTTTCTTTTTAAAATTGTTTAGAAAAGTTGTAGGTGACTTATATCTTTTAAAAATAATATAGAAAATTTTAAATACTTTTACATATACTTAATATTTTAGGTGTTTTCAATATTAAATATATAAATTTTATATTCTATTATACAAAATAATGTAAAATTTATATTCTCTTATACAAAATAATTTTAAAAATTTGAAGGAAAAACCATATTCTATTTTTTAATAACATACAGTCATACATTGTTTTTGTTTCTAGAGTTATGGATTTTGTAATGAAAATTTTAAGATGTGATAAATCAAAAAATTATTCTACTTTTCAATGAATAATATTTTATTCATTTAAATTATTATCTACCTACATCACTTATAACATCAGGCCGCGCATCGCGCGGGTAGTGTACTAGTATTAATTAAAAAATAAAATTATTTATCAATTAATATATTTATATTTCAAGTAGTTATATGATATAAGTTATAAAAATTATTATAATATAACACATGTAAGTCACACAAGTAACAAATGTCATTTTAAAATATATAATAATATATATTTGTTGTAAAAACATTCATTTATTTTAGAATATTTTTTTAACAAGCACCCATGTAATACACAGGTGTTGTACTAGTTTTATTTTATTTGAGCACGAACAAACCATAATATAAAATTGTAAAAAAAAATAAAGAAAAAGAAAAAGAAAAAAAACCACACGAGGGGCTGAATTGTACAATCGCATTAGACGTCGTGCCTGTCCTGCAATTTTCCCCTGCATTTATTTATTTATATTTAATTTATGTCCAAAATTCTGATTGTCAGAACTCTCTCTCTCTCTCTCCATATCCAGCACAAACCGACCTCTCAACTGATAATTCTGATAAACCCCATTTTTTCCATGCATTTTATCATGTGATGAGAAAGACGAAAGCTTTCCTAAGCTCCAAGCAAAAAAACAGGGGAATAAAATCATTAAATAAGGAAAAAAAAAAACAGGGGAATATCATATTATTAATATTAATATTCTCCTCCTTAGTCGCTGGCGGGTAACTATCTCCCTTCCAAATCTCACAAATCCCTGCAATTTTTTCTATTTTTTTTGCCTGATTTGGTCGGATTTCAACTTCCTATGACTCAGATTCATGCGCCAAATCCTATGGCGTTTGTTATTTTTCGACGCTAACCCCCGTTTTTCTTGTCTGCAGGTGCCAAGTCCCTTTTTTTTTGCCCTCCTTTGAAATATTCAACGGGGCCATAAATTGCACCACCTGTAATTTTCCTTTTTTTTTAACCCCTGTTCATTGCCGACTGAGCTTTTAGAGGGTCACATTAATGGTTGTCCCAAAAAGGGTCTGTTTTTTTGGAGCATAACAATGGCGGGTTTTAGCTCACTTTTTCTCTGTCAGAAGCTCGTGTACTTAATTCATGCTGTTATCAGATTTGTTTTCTCCAGTGTTTTCAGGTAATTAATCTTAAAAAGAAAAGCATCACAATTCATGATTATTCACTTTTTTTTTTTTGGTAATTTTAGTTATTTGTTTTTGGTGATAGGATTAGACTGAAAGCAGCACAGGAGAGTGGTGTATTGGACAAGGACGGTAAGAAAATTGATTTTCTTGAACCAGAAGATGGCGCTGAGTGTGGGGATTTTGGTGTTTGGTCCGAGGAAGAAGAAGAAGATGAACCAGAGGAGATATGTTTGAAGTTCAAGTTTCCTACTTTTGAAGAGTTCAGCAAAACCCATGAAGGAATAGGTAATTACAGCAAATTCGAGCGGGCCATTGTTGATGAGATGGAGGATTTTGTCGTGAAGGAGGAAATTGATGATACAGGGGGGTTTATTACTGATGGAAATTTCGATGAGGAATTTGATCGAACAGGTGGTGGGCATGAGGAAGGAGAAGAAATTCTGGTAGTTGACGGGGATGAAAACAAGAAAACTGGGGCGAAAATTGAATATCGAGAAACTTTGGATGAGGAATTCGTTCCAACAGGTGAGAAAGGAGAAAAAATTCAGGTATTCGATGAGAAATCTGGGGCAAAAATTGAATTTCAAGAAAATTCAGAACGTAAGGTGCAAACAGTTGTTCAGGATGAGGATGAGCTAACTGATGATGAAAATCACTTATCATCTGATAAAATTTCTATGATCACCGATTCCGATTCCGACTCCACGAGCTTTGAGCGCATACGTTCGGTTATGACCCGTTTGGTTGACCCACAAACCGACGGTTTCTTATCGGACGGCGACTTCGGAGTCGAACCACCCGAAAGCGAAAACGAGAAAACCGAAACTTTTAGCGAATTGTCGATTTTCGACGAAAATCGAGACTCGTCCGATGATTTCTCAGACGAGGATAGTGACATAATGGATGAGCTCGCGAAATTGGAGGAAGAAGGTAGTGATTCAAAAAATCCCGATAGCTCGAGCTCGGGTTTCTTGAGCTTCGATGATTTTAACGAGAAGTTTGAAACAAATGGAGATGAGAAAGTTGAAAAATCGAGCTTGAATGATTTTTCCGAGGATGATGATGCGGAGGAAGAGCTCGAGTCGTTGTGGGAGCATCAAGAGTTGATCGAGCAGCTAAAAATGGAGCTCAAGAAGGTTCGTGCCACGGGCCTTCCCACGATTCTAGAAGAATCCGAGTCGCCAAAGTTGATGGAAGACTTGAAGCCGTGGAAAATCGACGAGTTCCAACGGGAAAAAAATTGCTCGGCCGGGCTCCACAAGTTTTACAAGAGCTACCGAGAGAAAATGCGAAAATTCGACATAATCAACTATCAGAAGATGTACGCCATGGGTTAGTTCATCTTTCGTTATGACTCGATTCATTCAATTATCATGTTTTTTTTCATTTTTAAAATATATTTTGGTAAATAAATAAAAACTTTAAATTTGTAGTCTTCTTTGGTGGTTTATGATTGATTTTTGTTGAGTGTTGACTGTTCTTTGTTTGGTAAATCTTTTTTTTGTTAGTGTAAGGTCTTGTTTTCACATTCTTAGATTTGTTGAGACCTTTTGTTACTGTAATAGAAATGACATCCTTAAAACAGTTCTTTTCTTCTTATCTTGCAGGCTTTCTGCAACTCAAAGACCCAATGAAATCGGTCTCGACCCATAAACCGTCCCCACCAACCCTAAAATCGCTCGTCTCACAAAACCTCTGGCTGTTCAAACACAAAATTCACGGCACTGACCCCATGAAAAAGTTCGTGCAAGAGCTTCAGGGCGACTTGGAGGCCGTGTATGTGGGCCAGACGAGCCTCTCGTGGGAAATTTTGCACTGGCAATACGAAAAAGTCCTCGACCTTTGGGAAGAATCGGGCCCAAGTGGGGCCCGCACGTACAACGAGGTGGCGGGGGAGTTTCAACAGTTTCAAGTGCTCGTGCAGCGGTTCTTGGAAGACGAGCCTTTTCAGGGTCCGAGGGTTCAGAATTACGTCAAGACTCGATGTGCCGTTCGAAACCTCCTCCAAGTTCCCATCATAAGAGGTAAGAGAAAAAGAAAAAAGAAAAAAAGAAAATCGATCCTCGTTTGAAAATTTCTTGAAAATGGCATTTTTTCCGGTGATTTCGACAGAGGACAAAAGGAAGGTTAGGACAAAAGCTACGGGCGAATATTTCATCACGACCGAGATGCTAGTCGAGATGGTGGAGGAATCGATACGTATATTTTGGAGATTTGTTCGTGCGGATAAAGACTGCTCGATAGCTTCGCTCAACAACAGTCATAAAAGAACTCCGGAGCTTTCGAGCCCAGAAGATCTCGAGTTATTTACGGAGCTCAAAAGAAGTCTTCAAAAGGTTATCTCTTGGTCATTCGCAACTCGGTCTTAAAAAGGAAATTTGAGTAAATTACAATTTTAGTTCTGTATATTTCACTGAAACCTTAACTTTTTTGTCCTCTTCGAATTGCTTTTTTTGATATTCGTCCCTTATGTTTGTAGAATGGTTACAAAAGGTTGTTTATGTTTTCTAAAAAAGGTTCCAATTTCGTCCCTTATGTATGCTCGGGGACTTTTTTGTAACCCTTTTGCAAACATTAGGGACGAATAACAAAAACCAATTCGAAGGGGACGAAAAAAATATGGTAGTAAAACATATATGACGAAAATTGCAATTTACTCAAACGAATGAGTTTTCTAATTTCTGCGTATTTTGTGTTTATGTAGAAAGAGAGGAAGATTAAGGATATCTTGAGGAGTGAGAACTGCATTCTGAGGAAATTCAGGCAGTGCAGGGAAGATGAGTCGGAAGATCAAGTTCTCTACTTCTTCTCGCAAGTGGATATGAAGTTAGTTTGTCGGGTTTTGAACATGTCGAAAATAACGAGGGAACAACTGATTTGGTGTCGTAACAAGTTAAATAGGATTAGTTTTGTAAATAGGAGAATACATGTCGAACCCGCTTTCTTGCTCTTCCCCTGTTGATGAGCTCTTTCTAGCTGCCATTGTTGTAGCTTATTAGGCAGGTTATCCCACATGGATTTTGGAGTCCAATTTTGTACTGGAAAAATGCTTGATTTTGTTGGAATAGATAGGCAAAAGTTTGTTTCTATGTAGTCATTTTTATTCTGCCGTATTTGGAAGTGTTGGACTTTGTCTTTCTTCATCAAAATCACTAAACCTAGAAAGATATATAAACAAGTGATTGTACTTTTTTCTGATGAGTTTGTATAATCATCAAGACTTTGATACTCACTTAATTAGTTAAATTTAAATTGGAAGCATATTTTCAGTTTTAGAATATGCCAATTTTTCGTAAACTAGAATGATTTCTTAGTTGTAAGTAGAGCTTAATCTGAGCCGAACTCGAATTTTGACGAGCAATTATATGATAAAAGTTCACAAATTATTAAAAAAAAAATCTATTTATCAAGCATAAACTGCTTGAAAATAAACTTTCATCATTTGAGCTAAAAACATATCATCGATTTCGAAAATAAGGTGTGGTAGTAATGTTTTCACAACTAATATAATTGGAGTTGGTATCACGGGTTTGTATAATTTGCAAAACTTCAATAACTACTTTGTTGGAATTCGATTAAATATACTAATTTTCGTAATATAAAAATATTTTTTAATTATAAATAATGGTCGAGTCAAGTCGAGCTTAAACTTTCTAGACCAATATATGATAAGAATTTAAAAAATTATATAAAAATTTTTATTTATCAAATCTAACCAGCTTTCATGACTCAATCGAGTTGAATCATTCAAGATACTTGGATGTGTGTTAGAGCCAAGAGAATTTGGAAATTATCACCACTGAATTGGGAAGAGCCAGCTTCTTCAGAATCATTCAAACATTGGTGGTGGGATGTGTGTTCAGAAGATAAGAAGGAAATTTCAAAAGCCAGGATTAAGCTGACTACCTACATATTGTGGTGGCTGTGGAAGTCTCGGAATCTCTGGAAATTTCAAGACACTTGGATGCCGGATCAAGTTGTTATTAAGGCAGCACATGGAGATTGGTTGGAATTCAAACAATGCAGGTTGATCAGAGAAGTGCAGTGATGAGAGTGCTGTTATCTAGGTCCTGAGGTTCAGTAGATATCACACATCATTCATCTATTACTACATGCAGTGATGTTTTCATTACCTGTGTTGCCATCCTTATTGCTTTCTGAAGTGATTGTTTGTAGCTATAGGTTTTTGATGTATTTCTGCATGTATCTTATTTGTGGATGTATTGGTTGTAGGGAACTGTATCGGAAAAATGAAAATAAGATGACTATAATATATAATACCGAGGCCTGTAAGAACACAGTGTCCTTAAAACAGATTCGCCCCGTATGAGCGTCTATTTCCCAGGATACAACGGAAAAACTGAAACAAATTCGGCGAACTGGAATTAAGCTTGGACCAAAACACTGTAAAAGACAAACGGAGAAATTGACTTTAGGTGTGTTTTTGTTTTCATGGTTTCGTGAGTCATTTTTTCAAAAGAGGACAAGACCCCTTATATAGGCTAAGATAAGTCATACTCATTAACTCATTCATTTACTCCAAGACTTAATATAGTTAAGCCAATGTAACATTAATAAAACCATGTTACAAGTTTTAAAAATGAAGACACGGTTTCAAAATCAATTCTTGAGTTACAAGTTTCATTCAATTTTTTCCAACATTGGTTTAGGTCACCTTGAGAGTGGGCTCCTTTGTATGTTGTTCTCAACATTGAGGCTTCGGCCTCTCGGCTGTACATTTTATTATGAATGCAATCTATCGTTTAAAAAAAAAATCGAGTTGAATCAAACTTATGAGTGACTCATTTCATTTAACCAGTCTAATTTATTCCTCGGGCTACAACATAACGTGAAACACGACTCTAATTAGAAAATGAACCTTCAAGAAATAACGGACAGATTTCTAGGGTTTTGACTTTTGACTTTCAGCTTCATATAAATCACCTTTGAGAATCCTCTTGTGTCCGCCATCTACAAGCTGTTGCATAGAGATTTGAGGTACCGCACGAAAAAATGGTTCAGAGACTCACTTACCGGACCCGCCATAGCTACGCCACCAAATCCAATCAGCACAGAGTTGTCAAAACTCCCGGTGAGTTTTTAACATTTTCGAAGTCCCTTTTGCGATCCTGTTTGGGGATTATCTTCTTCTTTTACATTTTCAATTTTTTGTGATATTTGTGTGTGTGTGTGTGTGTGTGTGTGGATAACGATAGGGGGGAAGCTGGTGTATCAGACCACTAAGAAGAGAGCTAGCGGACCCAAATGTCCAGTCACCGGCAAGAGGATCCAAGGGGTATTTGATTTTTTCGTCATTTTGAGCTTTCATTATTCTTAGGTTGTATATGATTAATGTTATGTGATTGGGAATGAGTGATCTGTTTGTGTATTTGTGTTCCACTAAGGGGTTTTGTGATCTAATTAGGTTCTATTTGTCTCTGGGTGTATTAGTTTTGCTTTTATCTATATTTATTCCAGCATTGTATTTTTTCTAATATAGGATTGATTCTATTGAGAACTGTTGTGAGGGCATTGTGTTTTGATCAATAAATTTAGGCAATGGATAGCAGTTTATGATTCTGCATCATATATAGAGTTTGTGGTTTCATGATATGATTTCAACACTCAAATGTTATGGAATGAAAGAATCCGGATTTTGTTTTACCATTTTGTATTGGTTCTGCTGCATCGGGTGGTTATGGGGTGTACGGTTTCATTACATTCTCTTTTTTCTTGGAAGCGAACTATTGTTAGGGGCAAACCCCCATTTCTAGTGGACTTCGATTCTTATTAACATTATGTTTGAACAATAAATTTAGGCAATGGGCAATAGTTCATGATTTCTCTTTATTTCCATAGTTTGTGGTTTTATGACATGATTTCAGCACTCAAATGTTATAGAATGAAGGAACCCGAAATTTTGGTTCGACCATTTTGTCTTGGTTCTGCTGTGTAGGGTGGTTATCGTGTGAATGGTTTCATTACTTTTTGTTTTTAAGCAAAAAAGAACTGTTGTGAGTAGCATTATGTTTGACCAATAAATTTAGGCAATGGAGAGCAGTTCATGATTTCATTTATTCCAGAGTTTGTCATTTTATGATATCATTTCAACACTTAAATGTTATACAATGAATGGTCTCAAATTTGATTCAACATTGTTGTCTTGGTTCTGCTGCATAGCGTGGTTCCATTTTTTTTCTCTTGATGCCCAAAAAAAAAATGTTGTGAGGGACATCATGTTTGATTAATGAATTTAGCCAATGGAGAGCAGGTTCCATAGTTTGTGGTATTATGATATCATTTCAACACTCAAATATTATACGATGAAGTCTCTCGAAATTTGATTTGACTATTTATCTTGGTTCTGTTGCATCGGTTGAACGGTTTCATTCTGTTTTCTTTTTCTTGAAGCAAAGAAGAAAGAAAAGACGTTATATGCAGCAGGCTCGTATATTATATGTCCTATTTTTCGTTATGTGGCATTAGCTTTTGATGGTGAATCGTATTGGACTTGTAGTAGTATAATATACTGCGCACAAGAGTTTTTCATGGACTTGCTTAGTATTTCATTTTACGGTCATTTCAATTTTCTTACCCTCTTTTACTTTTTGCCTAGCCCCATAATTGATTATTTCTTGCCACTGGGATGCATATGTGGGGCAGATAGTTTATACTTTATAGAATTGTGTATTCCATTTCAGATTCCTCATTTGAGGCCTGCTGAGTATAAGAGGTCCAGATTGCCTAGAAACCGAAGGACTGTGAACCGTCCTTATGGTGGTGTTTTATCTGGAAGTGCCGTAAGGGAGAGGTAAATTTCATCTAATGCTTAAGATCAAAAGTTAGGCAAAGATTGATATTTATCGGCTGTGTTGTGATGAAATGGGCGTACAATTCTTTTTTTTTTTTTAGGATTATTCGGGCTTTCTTGGTGGAAGAACAAAAAATCGTGAAGAAGGTCTTGAAGATTCAGAAGGCAAAGGAAAAGCTAGCTTCTAAGAGTTAAAACCTGCGTTATGTTTTTCTGCAGAAGCCTTTTTTGTTTTGCCTATGATGATGATGAAAGAGATGTGGATCTTTTGTTAGTTGTTAAGTGCTTCATGTTTTTCTTTCGTATCGTAAAGCCTCAAAACGTTATGCGAAATTACTTTTGGCTCTTTTGATCAGTTTACAACTATGTACATCTGCCGACATAAAACTCAGTGTGATGTTTATGAATGCTGATGCTTGCCTGTGTTTTGTTATTGGTATGTTAACTATGTTTTGGTGTGATTTTGTTTAATTTTGCTTATTTCTTAAGGATGATCGGCTTTTTTTTTCTTAGCATGCCATTTCTCAAAGACACAGTGGAATACTGTTATTGTCAATTGTGACCTTTGAAATTATATTATCATTTGAAATTTGATATTTTCAAGTGGATAATAACACTTGAACTGAAATATTTGAATTCAAATTGGGGTTTGATTAGTGTGGTGTGGCTACTTTTGTTCGTTGAAAATTAAGGGTGAGTTTGGAGATTGAAGATGAAGCGTCAAGTGTATTATTAACATTTCAACTAAAATTGTTGGATTCAATCTTGACATGAGAAGATCAATTGAATAATTGGATATATGGTATACTTCCAATTTCTCATGTTTCTTGAGTAGGTTGGTGATAGTATATTTCATCTTTAAATTATAGATTTTGCTATCAATGTTGGACAAAATTTAAGTTTGACAAATAACAAGGCTCTAGATTTCACCTTTAGCGGTAGGTTATGTATGCAAATGCAGTAATCTGAACATTGGTCTTATAAAAGTACTCATTGTACATAGGAAATAAATTGAATATTGGTCTTGTTTTAATATATAATTTGAATATCGGCCATCTTAATACTCTTCAGAGATGTTTGTAAGTTGTAACGTGAAAAATTAATCAATCACACAGTGATATTTT